AAATACAGATGACACGGCGCCCAGTGCCGAGCCCCAGGGGACATTACTGTGCAGCTGGAGCTCCAGGATCTCACAGAAAGCAGCAGACGCGCAGAGCAAGGGAAGGGGAGCCGGTCCACTGAAACGTGAACCACGGTGACTTCAGGGCACCGCGCTTGGTTATTCTGCCCGCTGCTGCTCTTGGTGCCCATAAAGTATTAGTGTCTGAAGGTCTCAGCTGCCTCTGCCTGGACCTGCTTCTTCCCCTCCCCTTCCCTGTCCTCCCCTGCCCTGCCCTCCCCTTCCCTCCCCCCCTTCCCTTCCTCCCCTGCCCTCCCCTCCCCTTCCTCCCTTCTCTTCCTCCCTCCCCTCCCCTCCCCTCCCTTGCCCTCCCCTCCCCTCCCCTTCCCTCCCCTCCCCTTCCCTTCCCCCCCTCCCCTCCCCTTCCCTCCCCTCCCCTCCCCTTCCCTCCCCTCCCCTTCCCTTCCCTCCCCTCCCCTCCCCTTCCCTCCCTCCCTCCTCTTCCCTCCCCTTCCCTCCCCTGCCCTCCCCTCCCCTCCCCTTCTCCTCCCCTCCCTTCCCTTCCCCCCCTTTCCTTCCCTTCCCTCCCCTCCCCTCCCCTCCCCTCCCCTTCCCTCCCCCCCTTCCCTCCCCTCCCCTTCCCTTCCCTCCCCTTCCCTCCCCTTCCCTTCCCTCCCCTCCCCTCCTCCCTGTCCTCCCCTCCCCTACCCTCCCTTCACTTCCCTTCTCCTCTCCTCCCCTCCCCTCCCCTTCCCTCCCCTCCCCTCCCCTCCCCTGCCCTCCCCTGCCCTCCCCTCCTTTCCCTTCCCTCCTTTCCCTTCCCCTCCTTTCCCTTCCCCTCCTTTCCCTTCCCCTCCCTCCCCTGCCCTCCCCTCCCCTCCCCTTCCCTCCCCTGCCCTCCCTCCCCTCCCCTCCCCTTCCCTCCCCTCCCCTTCCCTCCCCTCCCCTCCCCTCCCCTCCCTCCCCTGCCCTCCCCCTCCCCTCCCCTTCCCTCCCTCCCCTCCCCTCCCCTCCCCTCCCCTCCCCTCCCCTCCCCTTCTCCTCCCCTCCCCTTCCCTTTCCTTCCCTCCCCTCCCCTCCCCTCCCCTCCCCTTCCCTTCCCCTCCCTTCCCCTCCCCTCCCCTCCCCTGTCCTCCCCTCCCCTCCCTCCCCTTCCCCCCCTTTCCTTTCCTTCCCTTCCCTTCCCTCCCTTCCCCTCCCCTCCCCTCCCCTCCCTTCCCCTCCCCTCCCCTCTCCTGTCCTCCCCTCCCCTCCCCTCCCCTTCCCTCCCCTCCCCTCCCCTTCCCTGTCCTCCCCTTCCCTCCCCTCCCCTCCCCTCCCCTGCCCTCCCCTCCCCTTCCCTGTCCTCCCCTTCCCTCCCCTCCCCTTCCCTTCCCTCCCCTCCCCTCCCCTCCCCTCCCCTTCCCTCCCCTCCTTTCCCTTCCCCCCCCTTTCCTTCCCTTCCCTTCCCTTCCCTTCCCTCCCCTCCCCTCCCCTGCCCTCCCCTCCCCTCCCCTCAGTTCCCTTCCCCCCCTTCCCCTCCCCTCCCCTCCCCTCCCTTCCCCTCCCCTCCCCTCCCTTCCCCTCCCCTCCCTTCCCCTCCCCTCCCCTCCCCTCTCCTCCCCTCCCTTCCCCTCCCCTCCCCTCTCCTCCCCTCCTCTCCTCTCCCCTCCCCTCCCCTCCCTTCCCTTCCCTTCCCTTCCCTTCCCTTCCCTTCCCTCCCCTCCCTCCCCTCCCCTCCCCTTCCCTCCCCTCCCCTCCCCTCTCTTCCCCTCCCCTCCCTTCCCCTCCCCTTTCCTTTCCGTTCCTCTCCCTTCCCTTTCCACCCCTCCCCTCCTCTCCCCTTCCCTCCCCTCCCCTCCCCTCCCCTCCCCTCTCTTCCCCTCCCCTCCCCCTCCCCTCCCTCCCTCCCCTCCCCTCCCCTCCCCTCTCCTTCTCTTTCCGTTCCTCTCCCTTCCCTTTCCACCCACAGGGCCATTCCCAAGACCACTGCCCAACAAAAGTCCATAGCTACCCAGCTCCAAGGTGAATCCCCAGAGAACCCCACAGGCAGCATTGCACAGGGTGGAGTTCATCTTGGGGGGCAGATAATTCAGAATCAGCACATTACAACCTATGGGACCAAAATGGACCCCCCAACACCTGTTTTTATAAATGAAGTTTTATTGGAACACAGCCATCCATGCTCATTCATTCATTGTAACAGTGGCTGCTTTTATTCTACAACAGAAAAGTAGTTTCTACAGAGACCATCTGGCCCTCCCAAAGCCATACTTAACCATTACTATTTGGTCTTTAAAAAAAAAAAAAAAAGCTTGTTGCGGGATTGGTGTGGCTCGGTGCTTGGGCGCTGACCTGTGAATCCGGAGGTCAGAGTTCAATTCCTGGTCAGGGCACATGTTCGGGTTGCAGGCTCAATCCCCAGTGTGGGGCATGCAGGAGGCACCTGATTGGGGATTCTCTCTCATCACTCATGTTGCTCTCTCTCCCTCTCCCTTCCTCTCTGACATCAATGAAAACATACTTTAAGAAAGAACGTTGCTGGCTCCCGCTCTGGGTCATTCAGACAAATCTCACCGGTAAGGTAAGGGCTCCTCCTGTGTTTTCAGCCCCTCGGGACCAGAGGAGCTGAGTCTAAGGCACACTGCCCGGAGGGCTCCACACAGACCCACGCGGGCTGTGACCGCGCCTCCCCGCGGGTGGTACAGTGCTCCGTGAACTAAGCCCACCAGCCCCTGTGGGCGGGCGGAGTCTGTCACACGGGGAGACAGCCCTCTGCGGGGCCCGGCAGGGAACCCCCTGCAGCCACACCAAACAAGTCAGTCCGAGACTGGTGGCCACACAAAAATAGGCACCACCAGAGTCAGCGGAGAGAAATGGCCCGAGGTAAGGCACGCAAGGGGAATGGATGCCACACAATGATAGTAACCAGTCATTAGCGAACGTTGTAGTTCGTTATTAATAATTATGTATATCAGAACATTGTAAAACAAGTTACAAAAAAATTTAAAAATGTTTCTTATGTACTGTTACATTGGCTGGGCTGCAAAATATTCATTGTGGGCCGCATGTGGCCCGTGGGCTGTGAGTTTGACATGCTCGGTGTAGGTTATGCTAGGACAGGGCAGATGGGGCAGTTACAGCATGTGGGCTGTGCCTACAAATTCCAGGCACAGATTCCACAGCGTGGCCACCTGGGAAGAAATATGTCCCATTGCACATCAGACTCTGAGGGACAGAGCCCAGAAGGACAGGGACACTGAGTGAATGTGTGTGTGTGTGTGTGTGTGTGTACATGCATTTGTATATACAGGGTGGGGCAAAAGTAGTTTACACTGTATGTGAAACAGAGTTTATTCTTGTATTATTATTTAGTAACTAGAGGCCTGCTGTGTGATATTCATGCAAGATTAGGCCTTCCTTCCCCTGGCTTTGCTCCAGCCACCCAGGAGCCTGCAAGTCCTCGCTCCCAGCCAAAGCTCCTGTAGCTCCCTCCGCCGCCACCCTCCTCCTCATAGCAGGGGTCCCACCCCTCCCAGCTGCTCCACACCTGCTTATGCAAATTAACCCTCCATCTTTGTCAGGTTAATTTGCATAGCCACCCCTGAGTGGCTGTGGGTGTAGCAGATGAATGGTCAATTTACATGTTTCTCTATTATTAGGTAAGATCACTGTGTTAATCTTCAGGGGAACAACTGTAACCCACTGTTGGCCCGCCCTGTAGTTGAGGGGTTGGCCCCACACAGTGAATCCAAGGTTCTGCAGCTTTGACCTTCTGGGTTAAGGGACCCAGAGTCACGCAGAATCTCTTTCCCTCACACATTCCGCTTCAGGGAAATAAAGCGGAAACGTCCTCAAGCCAGAGGCACCCTTTGAGAACCCCAAATGCACGCCCGTCCCTCCCCTGCCCTCCGCCCGCATGGCACAGGCATCCCGACGGTCGGATCCATCCGGGAGTGTGTCCCGGGCCTGAAAGATCTCCGAGCGCCGGCTAGACATAAACTTGTCAAATTAATTGCAGCCTTTCCTGTCTGCGCGCATTACAGCTTTAACATATTTCACAGCCACTCTGGTTAATTAACACGGCGTTAATGGCGGAAATCGCACCGTGAAACCATCACGCACAGCTGCCGTTCCCGTGTCAGTGCCGTTACCTTTAAATATCTTTCCCAAGAGGGAAGTCGCTCATGCAGACGCCAGAGCCGCTAGAAGAGAGTGAAGCAGAAAATCGAAGTTTGCACAGAGAGAGAGAGAGCTCGGGTCTCTGGCCGAGGCCCCGTCCCCAGCCAGCCGCCCGGAGAGGGGGCGCCCCGCAGGCCCAGGGCCCCCGCCTGCCACGTGACGTGGGGCCAGAGCACATCCTGGCCCAGCGGCTCCACGAAGCGCGGCTGAGGAGGCAGGAAACGGCTGCTGCGGCCTGGAGAGGCCAGCGATGCTTCCTTTGGAAAACGCTCTGTAAGTATCACACACACATTCACATACACGCGCACATGTGCACGATCACACATCCACACACGTGCACGAGCGTACACATATGCACACACATGCACACGCTCTAGTATGGAGCCATCCCACCAATATCAACCGTCCGATTGGCAGTGAAAGGGCGGTGCTTGGCCTCTGGGCACGGTCGGATGTGCAGACGCAGGGACCACGGACAGCCTCTGGGGCAGGGCCTTGTCCACGCCTGCCCTGGGACCACGTAGGACCACGCGACCCTTAGGTGACCTGGGCCACGGTTTCTGCCGCTGCACTTGGTTTGGACGTGTCGTTGGGACAAAGGGTGGAGGGCCAGCCTCTCCTGTCCCAGGATCTCCTCCGGGGAGCCCCCAGCGCAGACCCCGCAGGGCGTGGCCGTGGCCTGGAGCGCAGCCGGGGCCTGAGCTGCCTCTGGGAGCTGGTGAGTGACTGAGAGGCCGCTCTTGGCCACCCGGCCGGCTTCGCACCCGGCACCTGGCCTCCCGGGGAGGGGGGGGGGGCGGGTCTGTGCTGGACCCACCAGGGAAGCGAGGGCCACTCACCCGCCCGGTAGCTCCAGCCGGGAATGTGGATGGACAGCTGGTTGGTGTGGGCACTGGCGTGGCTGCTGGTGTGGTGGCTGCCGGTGTGGCCGGGAGTCCCGTGGTCCCCGCTCCCCTTCCTCGCAGTGACCTGCTCAGTCCCCGCCTCTGCGAGCTCTGTGCTTCCCGTCGGAGGGGGGCCACGCCAAGGGCATGTGCTGGCCCCCAGCTGCCCCTGCCCCACGGAGGGGTGCAGGGCGGGGGCCCAGTGGGGGCCCAGGAGGCTGGGGCCCTCCGCCAGAGGCTGCTTCAGGCCGCTGCCCATTGGCCCTCCGGAGGCTGGGCCGCCTGCCCCCTCTGGTGTCAGCCTGTGGGAACTGCAGTTCAGGTGGAGCGACAGGACGGACCTGTGCTTCTGGGGGCCGGCTGGCTGCGATGGCTCCATGGGGACGGAGAGGGACCGGTCCTGAGAGCAGGGGGCGGTGGGGCACGGCCGAGACACCCTGAGGTGCACGCAGGAGCTGAACAGCAGCGGGCCCCGCCCGGACTGCCTGTGGCCTGAGAGCCTGTGGTCCCCGCCGGCCCCCCAGCACTGGTGTCCGTCACACAGCCGTGCGTGGGCCTCGGGGGACTCCAGCCGCATCCCGGCGCTGCTTCCGGAGGGTTCCGTGCAGGCGGGGGGTCCGTGGTGCCGCCCTGGGTCAGCGCCGCCGGCCAGGGCAGGGGGGCCCCTGGGCTGCGGGTCCGGGGCCCTGCACCGGGTGCACAGCGGGCTCCCCCCAGGCCCCCACACCAGGGCCCTGGCTGGGGGGCCCACGCGCCTGGCGGTGATGGTGATGGATGCGAAGCCCCTCTGGGGGCTGCCGCCCGGCTGCCGCTCCTCCTCGGGGGTGAGCTTGGGCGCAGGTGCAGGCACCCGGGCGGGGGGCGGAGGCCCTGGCTGGCCTGGAAGCAGCGCGAAGGCCCGGCTGATGGCGACTCCGCTGCGGGGGGCCAGGGCGCGCCTCCCGGGCCACGGGGGCGGCTGGGCGCCGGCACAGGGCACGGGCACGGGCACCGCGGGCCCCTTCTCCGCGGGCTTGTGCTCATCCATCAGCTGCGAGATGACCAGGGAGGAAATCATCTTCCTGTTCTGGGATGCCAGCGCCTCCTGCAGACGGAAAGAGGGGAGTTATTCCAGCTGTGCCCGCGCTCTCCTCCGAGGTCTCTACCCCCTGCCAACGCCGCCACCTCTGCGCCTGCAGCCGGGTCTGTGTGCGGACCGAGGGCCATCCTGGACGCAGCCAATGCTTGTGGGATCATTCCCCCCTCCCCACCCCCGGGGTGTCCGCTCTGTCTGTTTACGGTGTTTGTTGGAGGGGAGCACCCCGTTTCCCTAATCACAGGCCCAGGAGCACCTGGTCAGACCCACAGCCCACGGCTGGTCCTGACAATCTGAACCGTGGATGCAAGGTGCAATGTGGTGTCTAAACACACCTTAGGAGCAGCAGCCCCTTTTCAGAAATTACTTTCATTGATGTCAGAGCGGAAAGGAGAGGGAGAGAGGGAGAAACATCAACGGTGAGAGAGTCATCCATCGGCTGCCTCCCGCACGCCCCCTACTGGGGATTGAGCCTGCAACCCAGGCCTGTGCCCTTGACCAGAATCAAACCTGGGACCCTTCAGTCCACAGGCCGACGCTCCATCCACTGAGCCAAACGGGCTAGGGCTGGGGCGACTATTTTTAAAATCGGGCAGGTTTTCCTTAACAAGCAATCACACCCTTCCCATCAAACATCTCCCCCAAAGAGGCAATGGCCGTGCATCACCCCACCTGTCCTTCCCTGAGCGTGGCTTTGAAAACAGACCCCTTTTATCTGAAATACAGCGCGCTGGTGTGAGATTTCGTTCGAACGGGAGAAAACCATCTGATATTGGAGGGCTCTCGAGGGCTGAGGGGTGGGTGGTGAGCTGGCTGTGGCTCTCGCTTTGCTGGCTCCTCCCCCCTCCCGCCCCACAGACTCTGCTGTGCCCTCAGCGCAGGGACGCAGGCTGGGCAGGAGGTGGGGGCCGCCGCTGTGAGTGAGGACACTCGGGGGAGCGCGGGCCCGGCCGGGCAGAGCTGGATGCAGACCTGGGCCTGACTGGCCAGACATGTGTGCCGGCTCAGAGACTCAGCGTGGCTGCCACGTGTCATCGTGTGTTGACTCTGCTCAGAACTCATGAGATGTTTCAGGTCTCATGTCCGCGTTTCACAGAAAGTAACCTGTGCGCGTCCTCTTGGAGGTGGGGTGCAAAGGGCACCCGCGCCCGGGGCCACACACCCCCAGATGTGAGAAACGCAATTGTCTCCAGGCATCGAGAGAAAGGAGACAACACCTAGGGCCCCGATGGCAACATTCACCAGATTCTTAACGGGAGAGGGAAGTCCCCAAGCCAGTCGCACTGTGACTTGGAGTCGTCAGCCTGTTTTTAGCGATGACGAGGAGGAGGAAGGAGGAAGGAGGAAGGCCCCCTGAGGTGCTGACACCTCCATGCCCCCCAAGGCGCCGAGCGGCATCGCCCCGCCGGGGAGTCACTGGTTGGCGTCGGTGCGGACGGGACGGCAGGCGGCTGTTTGTAAGCTCACTGCTCTCCGAGCCCATGGCTCACCCCGACTTCCCCACACCCTGGCCATCGCTCCCTCCCCACCATGGCCGAGGCTGTGGGAGATGCCTTCGGGAGATGCCTGGTCAGCCCCCGCCCCCGAGGACCCTGAGGCCCTGGCCCAGCACCCCTGGAGGAAGATGCGTCTCTCTTTGAGTAAGAGTCCCACCTTGGGGAGAGGACAGCCACGCCCTCCCCACTCGGGGTGGATCCCACGCGGCTCCCGAGCCCTCTGCCTCCTTCCAAAGGCCGGGTGAGCTCAGCTCAGAGAGAAACCGCCACGCGAAGCCGTCACCGCCCTCGGAATGACACGGGCTCCTCCGGCCTGAACTCAAGAACCTCGGAGCCTTCTACCCCCTGTGATGACGTCACCCCCTGTGATGACGTCACCAGAATGTCCGTGTCCCCCTCGGGGGAGGGGCGTGCTGTTCGCCTGTGCGTCTCTCTTAGCAGGAACAGAAATCGCCACGTTGACGTTTACATCTGAGGCCCCTCTGACAAGTCAAAACAAAGCTCACACAGCCACTACTCCAAAGGTGTGTCATCCTGGCTGGTGTGGCTCAGTGGACAGAGTGTCGGCCTGCAGAATGAAGGGGCCCGGGTTTGATTCCAGGCAGGAGCGTAGGCCTAGGTTGTGGGCTCCATCCTCAGTAGGGAGCATGCAGGAGGCAGCTGATCAGTGAGTCTCTCTCGTCACTGATGTTTCTCTCTCCCGCTCCCTGGCCCTCTGAAATCAATAAAAACACACTTTTTAAAAGATGTGTCCAAGAGCTATTTTATCCACTGCCTCCCTCAGACGCCCATTTCTCCTCTTTCTCCAGCTTCTCGGGACTGACTTCCCACCTTGGGTGAGAATTAACAAAACATACATACATGGAAACGGTCATGGTGCTCATGGTAATGCAACAGTTTTACCCTTGATTGCAAAATCAGAAACCGGAAACGAGACTGACGAGACAGAAGGCGTTTCGCTGGTGAACTTGGACTTTGGGGAGAGAGAACTTTGCTAATCAGGGTCTCCCGCCGACACCCCAGGGTGGTGCCTGCGCAGGCGCTGGGGGAGGTGCCAGGTGGCACCGGCATGGACGCCGGGCGCAGGAATGCACCCAAAGGAGCCACGGCCAAGGTCTGGCGGCTCCGGGGAACAGGCACAGCGGGAACAGGCGTGGCCCGAGGGGCGTGGCAGCAGGAGGAGAGTCCAGGGAACAGAACCCGCTACAGCCCTGGGAGGAGAGGAGCTGAGAAGAGAGCCGGCAGCTCTGGCTGCTGGAGAAACAGGTCGGGCAGGACGGGGCAGACCGAACCTGAACTTGAGTGAGGGCCACACCGCCAGCCTCACGGGCTCTCCTGCGGCAACACCGACCCCAACCAACGGGGCTGCGGGGCCAGAGGTCAGAGGTCAGCAGCTGGACAGGGGAAACCCTCACGGGCCGGGCCCCACGCAGAGTCACGTGTGGGGGGACCAATAAAACCATTGCGGTAAAAACACGACCTAACCGACCTTTACTTGTGATACATAAATAATAAAAAACACAAAGCACATGTGTACATACGTCAAAATGGCGGAACTTTTTTTTTTGGAAATAAATGGGAGATGGCGATGTAACCACGAAACTACGTCGAGTTCAATGTAACCCAAGGACTGCCTGTATATATATATATATAAAAGCCTAAGTGACTGTTATGACCAGTCGCTATGACACACACTGACCACCAGGGGGCAGATGCTCAATGCAGGAGCTTCCTCCTGGTGGTCAGTGCACTCCCACAGCCAACCTCCCAAGGTCCCTCCCTCCAGCCAGTCCCTCCCCCAGGTCAGCTGGCCAACCTCCCACAACCCCTCTTCTCTTCCCCTGCCGCCCCTCCCCCAAGTCTGCAGGCCCCATTGGGCAGGCCCAAATCGGCCCAGCCCTGATCAGGACTGGAAAAAACAGCCCTAATCGGCCCTGAACCGGCCAGGCCTAGGAACCCCACCTGTGCACAAATTCGTGCACCGGGCCTCTAGTAAAATACAATTGTCAGGCTGAGTATAAATGTATGTGGAAGAGAGACCAGCCAAGGTGACTGTGATACGAGTGAGATATTGCCTTGCTACCTACTGGAACATACTCCATTCCGTTAGAACAACGGGGTGTCCGCAAAGGGGAGGATGGAGCCACCAGGGGAGCAAAACCACGTGAGATGCCCACACACACACACACACACACACACACACACATGGTGAAAGGGACCTTTCAAAGCAAATGGACCAGAACAGCACATAACCCCGGGCGTTCCTGTGAGGATAAAACCACAGTCCGGTCCATCTTTAGAGCCACACACAAAACTAAACTGCGAAAGACTTAAGCGCGTCCACATAAAAGAGTGACATCAGAGAATAATGGGGCGCTATTTTTTGTAATATTGAAAGTCTCCTGAAAGGAGACAAAACACCCGGAGGCCATAAAAGAGGAACATCTGATGGTAAAAGAGCCAGTGACTTTTATATGGCAAATGTTACTACTTAGCACATTAAAGGACACGCAGCCGGCTGGAAGGAAAGGTTAACAGCATCCCTGCCCCGGCCGTAAAAGTGCCGCACGAGGCACGCACCCCGCTGTGCGGCCAGCCCGCCAGGACAAGGAGGGGCACCTCGGGGGTGAAAGCCCGAGAGGAAAGGGAGGGAGGAAGGAGGGGACACGGCTCCACAGAAAAGGGGGTGCAACGAGGTCCCGGGCATTCAACGACCTGGAGCTCTTCGGCAGTTAGGAGGAGGTAAGTTTAAAACACGCTTACAAGGCAGAGATAAAGCAATAGTTTGGGCATCAAAGGGTATTATTACGAACGTGAAAAACACTACCTACAGAATGGGAGGAAATACTTACAAACCACAGCACCAACAAGGACCTGGAATCCAGGCTACATAAAGAACTCTCCCAACTCACCAGCAAAAAGACAGGAAGCCCGATTTAAAAGTGGGCAGAGGACTAGAAAGGACAGTATTCAAAGAGCCGTCGTGCTCAACATCGTCAGCCGTTAGAGAGATGGAAGTCAAAACCACGGTGAGAAATATTACCCACCAGGCGATTATAACGAAGTCCACAGCAGCACTAACAAAAGACAGGACAGCAAGCGCAGGTGGGATGCGGGGAAGGAGACACGGCCGGCGAGGGGACAGAGGGGCGGCTGCTGCGGGAACAGTCCGCCGGCCTCAGAGGTAAGCGTGGAGTTCCACGTGACCCTGTGACCTTCTGTGCATACCCCGAAGAGTGGAAAGCCACTCAGACAGATGCTTGTATGCACATGTTCCTGTCAGCGTTGGTCACGAAAGCCAAAGGGTGGAAGCAACCTAAGTGTTCCTGAACCAATGGATGGATGAACACGTGGTACATGTCTGCACAGTGGAGTCCTGTGCAGCCATGAACAGGCATGAAGCACAGATTCCTGCTGTACCATCCTCAAAAATACCATGTAATGTAAGAAGCCACACAAACATCATGTATTTAATAGGAGCCAGGCACAAACATCATGTGTGTAAGAGGAGCC